AACTCCTCTTCTTTGAGTTCCCCATGTCATTCTCTGACTAAAGCTGTGGTGAAAGATTCTACCACAGCCCTGAAAAAAACGACAATAGCATTTGCAACTATGCCTTAATGTTTTACAAAAGAACTGGTGTTTGTGTAAAGCTGCTTCTCATCCTGTCATAGTTTTATCCTATTTGGTTAGGCTAAATAGTTTGTATGAGAGATTCAGTGTTGGAAGCAGACACAAAACCCGATTTTCTTTAGAAAAGTTGAAACAAGGTATCTGAGGAGTCTTCCATGAGGAGAAGGTATCCTGAGGTAAAATAAGCAATGCAGCATAAATTTTAGGGGATCAGGAAGAACGTTAATCTGGGTGGAAATGGTAGCTTGCTAAAGATGTGATATTGCAGCAGGTATGTGACAGAAATCTAGACATATAATGAGGTGCAGATGAGAAGCAAATTAGAAAACTGGTGAACAGAAGCCAGTGGAAAACTATGAGGTACTGTTCATAACCCTGTTGTGACAGAAATTTCACAGGCAAATGCTGCACATCATTACAAAATACTTGATCCAAGTCAGTTAGGTTCTTCAAGTGGGATAACTCACTTATTCTGGGGCAAGCTGGTAAAAAGGATGGAAATCTGTGAAGGGGAAGAAGTGAATAACAGGCGGCGTGTATGACAGGCATCTCATTGTCAGTTTTTTCAGAGGCACTGAATGCAATTAGCCCCACATAGGAATTTGCTTACCCTATCTATAGATTTAGGTTTTCTATGATGCTTTCTGTAAAATCATGTTGTATAAAGAAAACAGGACAGCAAGAGAAACTGTAGGTTAATTCCTGAATGACCGTTTTGTGCACTGGCTTGCACTGGAGATACCAATCAATACTAGGAACATCTGCTAGGCCAACTTGCACTATGCAATCCTTGATCAGAGTGCTCTGTGGGATTCTCCTGGAGTAAGGGAGTCTTCAGAGCAGACCTGTGAACAGTACTGGTGTGTGTTTGTCCTGGGGAGAGCTCAGCAGCCTTTCTCCCAGGCCCAGATGCCCTCAGCTTAGGTGCTGTACAAACACAGGTGCTGGGGGCAGAAAGAACCACCAGCAGCCAAGGCTTGCGTGCACATGCTGATGGAGGAGTCCATCCAGGTCACTCTTAAATGAAGGACTTCACATCTTTTAACTTGACCCAGCTTGCTCTGCCTGAAGTTTTCTCTGACATAGCCCTATAGCTAAGGGGTAAACAGAATGGGCAGTGAATGTGTGTGAAGGTGAAAACAGTGAAAATGAGACACTTCAGCTGTAAAATTAAGATAACCCCAAACCAGGAGATGCTGCTGCTCCTTAAACCGGGATTATACATAGTAAAGCTGGTGTCTGGTCTTCTCTGCATTTAAAATAGCTCCTGTGAGATTGCTTCACCATGATGGAGGCTGGCTTGTGGGGGTGGGAAACACAACCCCAAACCCTCTTTTCCCTTCTGCAGAGCAGAATCCCTTTAGCAGCAAAGAAATCTGGCCGGGTTCCCCTTGGGGAAACAGGAGCGCTGAGCCAGAATGCACGCAGTGACCCGTGAAGGCAGGAGCACAGCCGGTGCCCTGCAAAGCTGGGATTTCTGCCTCCCTGCCACAGTAACAGGGGCAACTCTCCCAGGCTGGGCCTCAGGGAGAAGGGGACTGGTGGAGGGGTTCTGGTGTTGCTGTGGAAAAAAGTGCTGCCAGGAGGGCCAGGCTGAGAAAGTCCTCTATGGAGGAGAGCAGAGATGACGGGAGCATGGGGCTTCAATGTCTGGACATGCACCCCACTTAGGAGAGAAAGCTGCTGCCTGAACCCATGCGTGGGGTGGCAGGAGGGCCAGGGGGGATCAAAGTCTGTTTTCAGCCCTAAATTGGAGTCAGCCCTCTGCTAGAGATGAGCATGGGGGGCAGCCCCTAGCAAACCCCCCACCAGGGAAAGGCCCTGCTCCCCATGATCCTTCAGGTGATGCTGGGAAGCTTCCTCAGGCATCGTTATCCCCCGTCGGCCTTTTACAAAGTCACGCGCTGGGCAACGGGCAAAGCGTCTGGTCCTTGGGGTAAATTTGGGGGAAGACACAACAAAACCCCCTCCTCAAGTACTTCAAGGCTGAAGGAGGGCAGCGGGGGAAGCCCCAAGTCCAGGCTACCCCCTGCAGGAACCAGAAACCTACGACGAAGGGCGAGGGGCCGCCGATTCCGTAAGGCGACCGCCCGCTCCCTGCCCCGCGCAGGCCCGGGGTGGCCAGGACCGGCCCCGCCAGCTCGGAGCGCCCCTCCTGGCCCCGGGCCCACCGCGGCTCCCTGAGGGGAGGGAAGGAAGAAAGGAGGGGGCGAAGGGAGGCTTCGCCGCCGCGGACCCACCCGCTGCCGCTTACCTTAGCGCCGAAGGGGGCGGCGGCGGCGCTGAGAAGGAGGAGGAGGCGGAGGCGGTGGGGAGAAGCGGCCATGCCGCGCTGCTGCTGCTGCTGCCGCTGCCGCTGCCGCCGCCGCCGCCGCGGAGGAGACGGCGAGGCGGCGCGGCGGCCCACCAGCGGTGGTGGCAGGAGCAGCCGGCGCGCGGGCCGGCATGGCTGAGGGAGTTAATGACTTTACAGCCTGCCGGGTGGCGACCCGCGGCGCGGCCGCTCGGCAGGGGGGCAGGGGGCCGGGCGCTTCTGAGGCCCCGCCGCCCCGGGGCTCGGTCCCGGGTCCCGCGTCCCGCCTGCGAGCTTGCGGGGCCGGGGCCGGGGCCGGGGCCGGCAGGGGGGCGGGCAGCCTGGGTCTGGCGCCTCGTACCGCCCTGCCCGCTGCCCGTCCCAGCGCCCGTCCCAGCACCAGTTTCTCTCGCCGCTTTCCGCCGCTCCTTCGTAGCCCCGCACCGTCTCCCGGGAGCGGCGGGATGCAGCGACTGTCCCTGCCGAACCTCGGCCACCCGCGCTGCCCCCTGCACCGCGCACACCCCGCGCTCCCAAGCGAAGTCCTCCCTCCGCTGGTTTCCTCCTGTACCAAAAACATTTGCTCTACCCAGTTCCTATTTCCTGCCCTTTCTGGGCAAGCTATGCTTTTTGGTGCATCCCTTTTAGTTCTCCTGGGGCTGAAGGGCAGCATGTGGTCCGTGCCGGAAAGGAGGGAAACTACCCGGGACACGGAGAGCTGCTCTTTCTGGCGCTGCAAATGGATTGTGCCTGTGGTAGTGAGCCCGATGACCTGGCCCATACTAAAAGAGGATATAGTTACCCAGAGGCCCCCAGATCTCCTCCATGGTTTGTGAAGTTTTATACTAAAGTGCAGCTTAAGCCACACATGGAAGTTGTTCAGTTTGTGCATCCTGACCTAAGTCAGTAACTGCAAAAAGCACGGTGCAATATCAGACCATTTGAACCTACTCCAGCAGTCTGCTCTTTGCTAGAGGCCTTCTCAGAAGGTGCAATGGCACCTCAAAAGCCCCCATAAGCTCCCTGAGACCTTTCAGGCTAAAGAAATCTGTCGATGCCTGTCTCCAGATGCTGCTTTCAGGCTGGAACACTGAGATAGTCAAGTGTGTAACTTAAGAGGAATGAATTTACTTGCCCTCCTTTCTGGATCCCCATTTGTTGTGCTTGTTATCAGAAGACAGCTCTTGGTGATATCCTTTGAGTCTCCAGCTGCTGTAAGCCATGGACAGAGGCTGTGCAAAAATGGCATTAGGTGTCTCTGACCTGGGGCAGGCGCCTGGGCAGCAGCAGTTCCTGCCTGCCAGATGTGCTGTAATTAGTGTAGGAAGGTGATCCGAGCATTCCACACCTCTCCCCTACCAAGGGTTTCAGCCTCAAGGTGAGGGGAGGAAGGAGAGAGGAATGATGGAGGGGTGTCAGCAGGAGGGAGCAACTGGGAACTCCCATCAAAGCTGTTTGCTAGCAGGCAGGGGGCAAGGAGAGGAGGGGAGCAATGTTCTTCTGACCCATCCAGAGAAAATGAGAGTGAGGAGCACTGATAACAGCACGGTTGCATCATGAGCTGCCTTCTACAAATGGGGAGGAAGCTTCAGAATCAATTCTTGGCCTTCCTGCCCTGCTGCAGCCCTGTGTAATGTTCCTCTGGACCCAGCTCCTGCACTGCAGATAAGCAAGGCTGTGGAGAGGCAGTTAGGTGGAGGAGAGGCTGAGCTGAAAAGTGTGTCTGGCTCCAGCTGAGTGATAGAGTCAGTAGCAGTTCAGGTCTCACGTGAGTTACGGTGTGTCTGATGTTCTACAGCTCAAACCCAGTATATGAGCAGGAGCCCAGGGAGGCAGAAACAGGCTGTTGTATGCTTTTCAGTGCAAAGACAATTTGAGGAGGGGGATCTGCATGTGAGGTGCTAAGGGAGTGTGATGGGGCAAATCTAGGTGGCTTTCAGTGCTCTCCCCTCCAGGGCCCCTCTGTGCCCCCTCTCCTGACCTTTCTTGCTAGGCCAGTTTGCATCTCTTAAGCACAACTCTTGAGCCTCTTCTGCTCACAGGGGTGATGCAAGTGCAGTGTGAAAGGCAGCAAGACACTGTTAAAATGCTGCTTGCCATTTTACACCCCGAGTTTAAGCAGCATGGTTGTTTTCTTGATGTTCAGAGCACATTTTGAGTAATCTCAGTCAATGTGGGAACAGTGGTATAGGAGATAAAGGTTCCCTCTTAGTCTTGAGAACCCAACCCCCACTAATCAATATATAGAAGGGTTTGGTAGGGTACTAAACCAATTAATACACTTAAAACTTTGCTAATAAAATCATCACCAGCCACCACAACCAGCTTCCAGTCTTGTAATCATTTCTAATCCACCTCTCTCAATTTGTATTTTTTTCCCTATTGTCTTTATTTAAAGTAAATTTGCCACTTTATAACTGGGCCAGCTGGTTCTGCTGTATTATGTACATGAGCAGGCTGAGCTCTGCATGTGCAGCAGCTCTTTGTGGTCTTGCATTCAGCCTTGCCATTGAAAAGGGCTTTTCCTCTGCTGCTTTCCAGTTTCATGTGCCCCGTTAACAGAAAGTAGGTCTGTATTACCACCAGGGAATGTTTAAAGGATTTATGAGGTTGAGGATCTCCCTTTTATTAGCACCCAAGAGCAGAGCCATATAGTTTCATCCCAACAGTCTCTCCATAACCAGATTTGAGCTGGGGCCAGCCAGTGAGTTTCACTGTAGGTGCCAGCCACATTTGGACATATGGGCTGCTTGTAGGGATCTGATCTGTGCTCATTTCTTGCCCTCTGGAAGTTGCCTAGGGTTATTTCAACTTCTTGTTTCATTGAATTGTGTTTCATCAGCCAACTGTTTCTCCCAAAATCTTCCAAACACAATCAGGAAGAGGAATCAAAGCATATTGCCTCTGGAAAGGAGAACCAATGTTTGTGGCTGCTGTTGCAGCACGTCCTGCAGGACTGGAGTACACTGTCCTTTAACATTACCTGAAGGGATTTATTCTGCTCACAACTCACTTGCAGATGTCAAGATGGCAGCTATCTTCCCACAGCGAAAGTTTCAGCGTCATAATTACAGAGGTTGTGAATTCAAAAAAACACATGTGAGAGATGGGCCTGAAGTGTAAAGGTGTTTGGACCTCTTTATTTCCCTGTGTTTTCCTCCCACTGGCCAAGCTGCTGGAGGAAGACTGTCTTTGACAGCAGTCTTGCAGGACACTGCAGTGGGTTTTTAGTCCATCCATACCTCTGGCCGAACAGTCACAGTGACTCAGTTGGCTTTACCTGGTGTTTGCCCCAGCACAGATGCCCCTTCCTGGCCCTTGGAGCAGAAACAACTGGACTTTGCTCTCCCTTTTGTGGAAGAACCTGTGTGGTATAAGGCTTCCCACTGCAGGCACAAGCTGTGACCAGGGAAATGGCTGGTTCTTCTTTCTATCGTTCTGACCAGCTCTAAGGGGTCAGCTGTGTTAACATAGAAAAAACAGTGGCTTCATTCAGCTCAAGCTGTAACTGGGGGAAGAGGCCAGGTCTGCTCTCCTGTAGAGATCACCACGACCTGAAACTGCTTCCCGGAGGTGTTTGAGTGGTCCTTAGATTGCTGGGGCAGAGGATGAAGCAGACCTCAAAGGATGTGTGGTGTGGGGAGGCTGTTTCCATCCCTTGTGTTGAACCGCGGGGCTGCCCCGGCTCAGGCTCTGAGAAGATCCTCAGCTCTCGAGTGCCCTCTCTCGGCCTGAGCAGAGCTGCACACTCCAGCCAAATCGGAGAGAGGCCAGCAGGTCTGCTCATGGCTTTGCCTCCTCCCTGTGCGGGCAATACACGTGCAAGCTGCATTCTTCAAGCCTTTTTTCATTGCCAGCTCCTAGATCCACAGCCCACAGGCTGATGCCAAGCTCCTTTGTGCAGTTCATTGTATGGCTGCTTCCCCTGGAGAGGTGAAGGAGGGAAATAAAAAAACCTCTTAAGCTCCCGCTATATGCAAATCTCTCTTAAAATGGAGGTTTTGTAGGCCTAAAAGTGACCCCCAAGAAACCAGCCCTCTGGCAGCAGAGCCTGCCCATGCATGGAGCTGCAGGAGAGTTAAGCTGTCAGAGAGCTCCTGGAGGTTAAAGCTCAAAAGGAGAGATGTAACTCAGCTGGGTTCACTACTTGTCTCTCTCTCTCCTGCCTTCTTCCAGTTTTAGCCTGTGCCGGTGCAGAGGGGCAGAGATGTGGCATGATGTGCCTGTTGCAGGGACAGGGATGCTGCACAGAGAGCCAGGTGGCATGCCAAGCCCATGCAGCACTGGCTGGGCCACTTGCCTTTAAATGCTGGAGATGGTAAGTTTATGTCCTATCACAAGGCAGTGACACATTCACACATATTATCAGTGCTCATTTTGTGATGCAGTCCAGACTGGCCTTCCAGAACTGGTTTTGCCCCTCAGTTGAGCTGCTGTGTAATTTTCAAGGTGATTTTTAGGGTTGTTGAGCACCCTGTGGCAGCACATCTTTCCCTGAAGAACTACTGCTGCAGAGAGCAGTACTAAAAAAAAGGGAAGGATAGCTGGGGAGTGGAATCCTTTAATAGGCCAAGTAGAATAAGTTTTTAATTTTTTTTTTAAGATCAGGAGTTGAAAAATTATTTCAGGTTTTTTGCATTCATGTAACAGCAGGCAACTGATAAGCTCCAGCCAAACCCATGGCCTTGCTGGGCTTGGGTGATGTGTATGTGCAGGAAGAGATGTTTCCAGAGAGATTATGAACTAGGCCTGGGAAGAATAATTTACCTGCGATGCTGCAGAGCTGGACCATGTCCTGCTTCATCCTGGTCTTGTGCTGACCTGTCACAGCCTGGGAAGGGGAAGCTTTAGCTCCTCCTGAGTTGCCATGGGTGTATCTGCTCCCTGTGCCCCACGACCTCTGTGTCACCTGGCAGGCACCACTCCCATTCCCGGTTCAACCTGTTTTTTGGAGCAGGATGATGATTCTGTTTACTAACACAGATCTTAAGGTCCTTTCCAACCCTAACTATTCTATGATTCCATGGTGAGCACACCATCTAGGGGAAAAATACCAGTGCATCCTTCTGCCTGAAGACACTCTCGGAGCTTGTTCAGCTGGTCCCTTAGCACTCACTTTCGAATTCATGTGCAAGACTAAAAAAGCAGCCTGGGTTTGTCATCCATCAATCATTTAACCTGGTGACATCAGACTTTCATCTGAATCTTTGGGCTAGGACCAAGTCTTGTTCTTTTGCATCAGACAACAGGAGACGAGTGATGTTTACTTCTGGCTATCAATCACGTGAACATCTGTGTGAAAATAGATGCCAATGTTATGAGTATTTAGGTTGTCAGGGCCTGGACAGGGATGAAGAAAATCCAGAAAAAGAGTAAATCCTCTTTTGTTCAGCCTTTTCTCTGTTTAGGCCAGAGCTGGGCAAAGTAATTCATCACAAATATAAGAATTTGTGTGTGCTGACATGGTGTGACATTGGGTGGAACCGATCTGATGAACGGTGTTAAAATGAGAAATATTTGCTTTCTGTATTTCTCAAATATTTCAGTTGTCCATGGATTTTAGTTTAATTATTATCATTAAGCATTACGCAAACCTCAGTATGTTCCAGTCTGCGCTGAATTCAGCGGCTGTTTGGGGGTTTGTTTTTACTTTTGCTTTAGTTGAAAAAGCTGCAAATGTTTGCCCCAAACAACTGAGAAAAGGGTTGTTTGTTTTTTTTCTGGTAAAAGCTAATATTCGATTTACTTCCACAAATATAGCCCTGGCCTAAAAAAAAACTTTGTCAATATATAATGATCCCTTTTCCTTAATAAACTGAAAATAGCTAGTGGAGGGGAAAAAAGAAAGAGCAAAACCAAAACACCAAAAAAAAAAAAACCCAACAAAAAACACTATCAAAAAAGCAAGCAAATAAACCAACCAATCACAAAAGCAGAATACGTATGGTAAGAGTCCAGTCTCAGTTTAAGAACTTCTGGTTTCTTTTGCAATCTCATTATTTATTTTTAAATAGAAGTTTTGGTTCAGAAGCAAGCAGACAGTTTGTCTTTAAAAGGTCATAAAAATATCTATGTCTGTATTAGACCAGCTCAGGTGGATGGAGCTTACAGTGATGTGTCCAAGCAGTGTGAATTTGGCCTTCCATACCCTGGCTATGCATTACAAAAACAGAGCATAAAACTGAGAGTGAGATAACATTAAAATACAGACTTCCTTCGAGATATTGACATGGTCTGCTGGTTCTTACATCAACGCCCATACTGAACTGCGCAGAGCAGAAACAGTATTTTCTGTTACCAAAGTAATGTTTACCAATAAAAAGGAGGAAGGGGAGGAAGCAACCTATATCTTATACAAAACCATGCCCTGGGCTGCCCTGCTGATGCTGAGCTGCAGCAGGTAACTCACATCTAGCCTAGTGTTTGTCACGGTTAAAACTCTTTGGTTGTGTCTTCATGTCCCCAACCAACAAAGTTGTCCTTTGACTAGAACATGAACAAATAACCCCTTCCTCTTCCTTCGTTTTGTCCCCTCCTCCAAGTTAGTGGCCACATATCTCCTAAGAGACGTCAAGGCACGCAGCAGGAGGAAAGAAGAGACAGGCTGTGGTTTTAGGGTGCAGGGTTGTACCTCAGCTGGCCCATCAGTGGGGCACATCAGCAAGGCACCATTGGCAGGAGACCTGGACAGCACCAGGGTCCAGTTGCTCTAAGAAGCACTCACATGTGCTGCTTGTAAAAACACCATAGTGTTCTCAATTTGTGTCCTGTTCGGATACAGAGCCTGGCTCTGTAAGGCCCCAGTCTGTGCTGCTTATATGGAAATAAGCCATGCTCTGCTACAGCGGCTCCTTCCCTGGCAGACAACTCTGTAGGCACGAGGGTCTGACACCCGGGGCAGGTTGTTGTGTTGCTATAAATGCTGCAACCTGCACCTACCCCTGAGGTGTTCCCTGAGTTGGCTGCTCTGTCCCAGAGTCCCAGAGCACCTGCAAAAGTGCAGTGTGCAGGGGCAACACAGTGTTTCCAGGACTCAGATTTTTCTTCCTGGTATGCAGAAGAGGAGGCACAGTAAGAAACCGACTTGCTTTTGGGGGGAATTTTAGTGTTAACATGAGAGATTTTGTCTTTACCAGCAAATCCCAGCTCTGTTCCTAGTTGCTTTAGCATATGACAGAGCACCAGCTGCCTGTCAGGGAGGCCAATGTACCTTTGGAGGGCAAAGACCTGGAGTGCTACCCTATGTGATTTGAAATAAATATCAATGCTAACATCTACATTCATCAATAAAAGTGAGCTGGGGAGAGACAGGCTTCCTGTCCTCACACAGATCAGAGACCCAGGTGAAGAACAATCCATCATGTAGGGCCAAAGCTGATGCATCAGCCCAAAGATGTAGCCATAGTCTCGTGGCAGCAAAGGGATCAAGAGTGGACACTTTTTAAAAGAGGTAGCATAAGTTAAACTGTGTTACTAATTCTTTTACCTGTGCAATCAGAGCAACAGTGAGGCGGTTTCTGTTTCACTGCTCTCTGAAGTTTCTTCTAATTGATGTTTAGGGGATTTCTGAATTGCAGGCTTGTTTGGACATTCCATATTTAGGATCTGGTCTTTGCAAGGTGTCAAGCTGTCTGTGCAAGTGTGACCCTATCAGGACTGACTGGTCAAACCCCTGACTAGCAAATGAGTTTTCTTTTTGAAGTATGCCTTCAAAATGTTGGGCTTTGAGGAATTTGACCTTCCTGTGTTTCAGCAGCACTCTGAAAATGGAGAGAAACCTTCTAGATAAAGTACATTCGGAGACCAATGTACATGACATTAGCAAACTAAGAGGCAGGGAGAAATGAAAGAGATACTGAAGTATCTTTCTGGAATACTAGTTGTGTATGTTATTTGTGTATCTTCTGATAGAAATTCTACCTGCAAAGTCTTGTTTTCCCTCCTGCCTCCCCACACAGCAATGTTCTCCTGTGCAATTAGCAGTCTAGAGTACCCACTCTTCCCATCTGCCAGAAGGAAGTGTGCAATCTATCATCTCCAGGCTGGCAAACAGCCTGAATCAACTTACACCTGTCAAACTCTTTCCAGGAAGATACAAGAAACAAATTGAAAAGAAATAGCACTGTTTGTGCATGCCTCCACCAGAGCTGACAGGACCATTGTCCAACCCTCCTCTAGGGGCTCTGGCAGCCTCTGCCCCTAGGGTTTGGTGTGGACCTGGCAGCCTCCCTTCTCGATGGCCTGCACTGGGTAGATCGGTAGGACCAGGTGGGAGATGCGGCTCCACAGACCACTGAACTTGTCAGAGTCCATGTGGTCATGGGAGCTGGGGGTCCTGGTGTCAATGAACTTGGCCCAGAGGAAGTCGCGGACACTCTCCTCCGCCTGCTGGAGGCTGATGTGGGTCTCCAGCATCTCCTCCTCCAGCAGCACAGTCAGCAGCAGGGCCACGTCCTTGAAAGCAGCACTTTCATGGTCACAATATTTGTAGAAAATGAGGGTGGCCCCTGCCGGCAGCAACTCAAAGCGGTGGATCACTGCAGCATGGCTCCTAGCCTGGAAAGCTGAGCTCAGCTCCATGTCCACCTCCAGCTTGGCCTTGTCACTCTGGAGCCTGGATTTCCCCATGCCATCAATCTGGACCGTGCTGCCATGTAGGGCAGCCGAGTAGGTGTCAGCCACATGGGTGCTAAGGCATCGCAAGGTCTGCTCACCCTTGCGGGCAGCTGTAAAGATAATGATGGCTGGCTGTGTGTGGTGAGATGCATTGAGGTGCTTCTGCAGGAACTTGCGCCCACGAAGCCAGAGTTGAGGACTCTGCCCCGGAAACCTTTCCTGCAGCTGGTTGAACTGCAACAGGAATGCCTCCACCGTGGGGTTCTTGGGGGCTTGCTGGGAACTGGAGGTTGGGTTGCTGAAGCAGAGTAGGCAGAGACCAAGCAATAGAAGGCTCAAGGTGATAAGCCCTGTTCAACAGGGGAAAGACCCAAGATGGGGAACAGAAGTCAGTCCCAAGTGACCTGCAATGATATGCTACAAAGTAGCTATGAAGGTTCTTTTTTCTCATTTCAGACCTTTTCCCCTACACTAGGAAAGTGGTTCAAATTGACGTTCTCTGGGGACCCAAGAATGAAGCAGCTGCTCCGCCCATGCGGCTACCCACCAGATGGGGGGGCTACAGCTCCAGAGATGGAGGCAAGGACAAAGCTTTTTTGCGCAGAATTTCCTGAGGAAATTGCAGCTACAAGCTTTTCTTTCACCCTCTCTGTTTGCTTTAAGGTTTGTGGCTGTTCAGAGTACCTATCTCCACATAGTGACATGGTTTAGTGGGGGACTTTGCAGTCCTTCAGTAAAGGTTGGGCAGGATGATCTTAAACGACTTTTCCAACCTAGCTGATTCTATGATTCTATATACAGGTGTCTGACCCAGCTAAAGTGTTGTGTTCTCTGCCTTCCTCCTAGCTATGCTGGGTGAACAAAGGCTACCATGCTTCTGCCCCAAAAAGGACAGCAAGGTCCAGACACAACTGCTTCTGTCCCTCTCCAGATCAGCATCACAGTTCCTGCTTGGGGCCCCATGACACAGAGAGAGACTGGGAAGGGAAACCATCAATGTAGTGGCATCAGACCTCCCAGGGCATGCCAGGGTAATCCCAGCAGTCTGAACATGCTTTTCATGAGCATGTATGCCTGCTTTGGAGTACTCAGAACTGGATGAAAGCTGTTACTATAGGTTCAAACAGAGCCTATTTTTAAGGGAATGTTTTTTCCCTCAAGCCCTCAGAAAAGGCTGTGAAAGGTCCCAAGAGAGAAGAATTATTAAATGTGCTTCATTACTTGTTCCTGGAGGATCAGGGCCTTCCAGTCGATGAGTAACATGCAAGGGAAGCTTCTTTTCCTCACCTTTCAGGAAGAGGGACTTTTTTGCCTTCTCCTGGTCTGTGTTTTGAGTGGTGATATTCTGCAAGCAGGACTGAGCCTCTGGCTTTGGAGATGTGTGCCCTACAGTAAGAAAAAGAAATGTGCCACTCACGGTTGAGGGAACAGGTAAATTGAGCTGTAATAAGAAAAGCAACAGAGCTGCCAGGAGCTCCCAGCTGAGGGAAAGAGTTAGAAGTCAATACTGCTTTGCATTAATACTGCTTTGAGTCTTGACAGTCTGCTATTTGAGCAGGGGAAGGAGAAAGATAATGCAGAGTGCAGTGTGATTTCATGCAGGACAGTACCCAAAGGAGAGAGAAAGAGAGAAGCCAGATAGTTTCTTATACCTTCTTTCATGCTTGACTCTGGAGAATTGACAATAAGCACTAGAGATTTCACCTTACCATTTTTCTAACACCTATGCAAAGTGTAGGCATGTGAATAGTGGAAGAGCAGCAACATGCAGCCACCAGCTCACCTTTCATCCCATGTCTGTTCCTTAACATGCCTTGGGATCCATTTTCCTGTGTTTCTTGCTCCATGTTCTCTTCTGGCTCCTGATCTAAGAGAGGAGCACTGGTGCCCTTCTCTGGCAAGGGGTCCTTTGTGATATCTTCTGTGGCAGTCACAGACGAATGTGTCACTTTACTGTCAGAGCTTAGTGACTTGCTTCTTGATGAAGCATCTTCCTCTGCTGTGTAGGAGCTTTCATATTGCCTGCTTATCTCCTGGTCCTCCTGTGTTTCCTGCTGTACAGGGCTGTCTCCTTTGCTGTCCATTTTATCATGGGCCAGCTTGGCTATGGGGAATAAAATTTGCAGACCTACACTTACCTCTCTTTGGTCTTATTCAAGAACCAACAACCCCCTCCTGCATTTTTGGAAACACATTTGATGATTCTCTATACAGATGAACACAAGGCAGTGAACACAGCACTTTACCTGGGTCAGATATCTCTATATAGAGATTTTTGGATTTTTGGAAATGCTGGATGGGGAGAGACTCACCTTCATCCAAGTCATCTTCTTCCTGGCATCTTTTGGAGACACCATCACTTGTTTTCCCAGATTCTTCCAGTGCTATTTCAGCTTCCTGGTTAACCTTCTCTGCTGTGGGGCCAGCTAAATCAGACAGTGTTGTGTCTCCATCAGGAGTTGGTGATTTACATACTGAAGAGTCCTCCTCTAGTTTGCAGGAGGTCTCAGGCCACCTGCTTGCCACTTGGTGCTCAAGTGTTTCTTGGGTGGGCTCTTGGTGGACAGGATGCTCTGCTGTGCTCTGATCCTCATCCTGGGCTGGCCCTGCTGTTGAGATCAGAGTTCAGAAGCTCAGCTAGGCATACAGGAATCAAGAATACCCTGTGCTTTACCACCACCCTGTAAAATTCCCAGTTCTTGCATTTCAGAAACATCTACCCCAGGTGAGACGGGGGAGAGAATAGGTGACCGAAAGTGAGAAAACTCACGGCTTGAGATCAGGACAGCTGAATAAGTGAAGGAGAGGAGGGGAAACCACAAGCAACGCAAAGGCAATTGCTCACCATCTCCTACAAGTGGACTGATGCCAGGCCACTCTTTGAGCACTGTCCAGCCTGAACCAAACCCCCTCTCCCTTTCTTCCTGTATCGTTTTTTGTTAGAGTGTGATGTTACACTTTATGCAATAACCCATTTCCCACCTTGGGTCTCCACCCAATCTTCTCCCCCCCCCCCCCCCCCAATTATTTGTTTGGAGCAGGGAGAGGAGGGGGGAAGAGAAAGCCTTGATGCCACACCAGCACTGTGGAGAGGAGGGGGGAAGAGAAAGCCTTGATGCCACACCAGCACTGTTCAGCCATCACCAAAACACTGCTGTGTTATCAACACTATTTTTTTTTAAACACAAATCCAAAACACAGCACTGTACAGGCTGCTGTGAGCAAAGTTAACTCAATCCCAGTCTATGTGCATGCTGGGGCGAGCAATTCTTTTATTATGTGGTAGGATATGTTGCCACACCTTCCACAGATAGTGGGGTTTCCTAGGTTGGCAAATTAAGGTGATGGATTTGAAGAATTTCTAAGGTTGTTGTTGAGAACTGGCCAGAATAGTTACACAAAAGCACTTCAAGCATCTGTTTGAATTGTAAATGTCAGCTCTGCTCATGCTCCTTCTCTGCTCCTGTTCTGGAGCTGCTCTCCCAGACAGCTATGGTAACATATAATTAAAAGCAAACAGTGGAGCATAATTCAATAGAGAAATACTTACTCAGAACACTGAAAGTAAGTGTTTGTAACACATTTTGAATCTTACAAAACCAAACAGTGCAGCTCAAATTTCAGGCACTATTTGTGGAAAACTCCTTATGAATGATCAAGCACTATAATGACAGAAATGATTATGCTAAAACTAGAATAAAGACTGATAAAAATGGCAAGGAACTCCCCGCTAATTTGAAAATGGAGAAAAACGTGCCCTTGTCACATGTCAGAACATGCTGTCCTTTGGAGCATGACTTTTACATTCCTTGTTGCTGATTATGATGGGAAAACTTCTGATCACTTAGGATGGATCTGAACTAGTTACAGCATCACAGTATCACTGAAATATATAGTAGTCATAATGAGGCACATGGAAGATGTAAGTACAGGGTAGAAACTGAACCAGGAAGAACCTCAAGGTATCCTGCTATTCAAGCTGGGTACAAACAGCACTCCTTGCTGTGCCTCCTCCAGAGGTTTTCCATCCATAGGTGATGGAAAACTGGCCTATTATGTAAGCATCTGTAGATGGGAAGCACTGGGATGCAGTGAAGAAAGCTCTCCCAGCTGTAGCTGCATCTTTAGCCTTTCTTGGGCTGCCATTCTGGACACAGAGTGTAAACCTGTTGCAGACTGGAATCCAAAACTGAAATAACTTGTTAATCTTTCACCCTTCAAAAAAAGATAGCAACTTGCTTTTCTGGGTCTGGAAAAGAGGGGATTTTTTTTTTTTTTATTATTATTATTTTGTTTAGGTTTTCCATATCACTGTTGAAGTGTTCTTGCAAAGGGGTTTTCCTAGTAGATGGAGTTAAGCATATGATTCACTTACCTCCAGAGAGATCCACACTTGGATTCTCTTCCATTTTCTTTCTTCCCTGGAGCTCTGGCTTCTGCACCGTTTTGTTTCACTTTCTTCTTTGGTCATAAGAAGACGTATCTCCCTGCTGTCTGAGTGGCTGATCAAATCCTACCCTCCTCACAGACACCATCCTGTCTAGGTCTTGGGAGTTGCTATTAAATGCCCATAAACCTGATAACCAGAAACACAGGAGCAGTGATTCATGGTAAAGAAGGAGGCTACTCCCTCCTCGATTACCAAGGTGATATGAAAATGGACGGATACTGCTGATAAACTGAAACCTTTAGCCCAAGAGCTATTAGATATTTTGCTTCCCGCAGGCTGCTGTCTTGGGGCAAGCCAGTGGAGGGAGGCACCGGTTTGTCACCCAGGTGGACCTGGATGGACTCATGCGCTCTTGAGATGGCAGGCCTGGAGCCTGGGGCTTGGCAGGCTGCCCCATGTGCTTCCAGGCACCTGGGATCCCACAGCCAGGCCGACACAGAGCAGTGAGCCTGTTCCACCTTACCTTCCTGCCTCTGGCACGTCAGAACGGGAGACAGTGGTGCTGGGAGGGGAAGCCACTGACAGAAACACCGACTGGCCTGTGTGCAGCACTGTTACCCCCAGCCGACCCTCAGCAGTGCCCTAGCTGGGTGCTGTGAACATGGAGCAACACCCTGACTCTCCTACACCCCCAGAAATACTTCCCCCTCTGCTAAAATGCTTTGGGACTGGATGGCCATGCTGGCCTGCTAGTGTAACCTCAGAAAGTGGATGGCTTCACAACAGCAATGCCTGCCTGCGGAAATCCGTGCAGCACGGAAAACTCCTGAGCAGCTTTCCCCACTGGGAGTGGTTTATGGGGATTTCCATACAGAAATCTCAAGCGCAGCCTTCTCAGCAGCCCGTCTAGCATAGCGGGGCACCTTCTCCCAGCCGCACTGTCTCTACAGTTGAGCTTTCCTGCTAAACACCAGATTTGGGAGGCAGGGTGGGAGGGTGTAAAACTGCTGCTCCTTGCCGCCCAGCTCTCGTCCCTCCCCTCCCTGTGCTGCTGCCTCTGGCAGAAGAAGGAAGTCAGAGGAACAAAGTGGTTTGCAGAGTCAGACGCTTACCCGGGCAGGTTCGGAGCTGCTCAGGGCGCCGAAGTGAAGCAGGGGCGGCAGGAGGAGGCCAGCGCTGGCCACTCCACTTGCCCTTCCCAGAGGCCTTTCGGCTCCGCTGGGGGCCGGACTGCCCCGGCACCCGACACACACCCTTAGTCATCCACTGTCAACGTGACAGTGAACTCTGCCCTTCCCCGGCTGCCGGCAGGCTGCTGGGAGCTGTAGTTCTCCTTCGCTCCTTCTCACCAAAGGCGGGCGGATTTTCCGCAGCCGTTCTCGGGAGCGTTCAGGAAACTGTGACTTCTTTTCTTTGGCTGTATTTCTGAATGCGATCGTGCGCAGTTTCTTTCTGGCAAACTGGATGACCATCAGCTTCCTGCATTAAGTAACAACGCTGCAAATTTAAACTAAATGACAGTGAGGAGGGAACTGTTTTGAGAGTTGATTTATGTAGATTAAAAGTGCCACAAGAAAAAGAAAAAAAGCCAAACGTGTAGCCAGCAAACCCCGGGCTCTGGAAATGTCACACTGTGCAAGTGCAGGGAAGATGGGGAGCCATGGGCTGTGAAATGGAGTGTCTAGCGTCAGCCTGGAGGGTAAGGGGTGGGGAGCCCCGCAGTGCTTCCTGTCCAGTGTGGTCCAGAGACTGCAATGCGGAAAGGTCAGAGAGAGTGTGTGCAGCTGCTTCTGGCCTCATTTGGGCAATGGTTTTCCAAAAAGTGCTGATCTGACTTCTTGTGCCCACACAGGGGAAAAGTTCCAGCCTCTTCCCTGTTCCCCCCCCCTGCCCAGAACACTTTTCATAGGAAGCAGTGGCATGGTGCAGGGCATGCCAGGAGAAAGGCACAAGGAGCAGCAGCACAGAGGTGGCAACTTCCACTGGGGATGCCAAGCCAGAAAGGGGCTGCTTGTGCCCCGGGACAGAACCAGCCAGAGTGTGCCCTGCTCCATCTCTGTCTCTTCCCAGGCCTTCACAAGCTGCCTCCTGCCCTATGGCCAACTGTGTGTCCATCATTTGACTGTATTGTAACTGAGCAATAATGAAACACGTGTCACACTACACAAGAGGTGAGCGTGTGCATAGGTATCAATACCGATGCCGGTCATATCAGGAAGGTGAGGCATGTATGGGCACAGTGCATGTAGCAACTGCAGAATTGCACCTTCTCTTCAGGAGCACAGAAAAGCAGTGGCTTCCTCTGAGACTCACACAGTCACTCTGATGCTGGTGGCCATCCCCTCCCTCCCTGGTAGATTCAGCACATTCCTTTATAATGGCCAACCTCCTACTGGATTCAGTAGAGGCTGTAAAACCAACAGAATGACAAAGCAGGGAGGAAAAAGCCTGAGAGGCTCATGTATGGAGACCAAGATCTCCCAAGCACCCTGCTCTTGGTTGCTGTCCATCTCATATCCCAGCCAGTGGCACATTTGACTTGGTCTGCTTCTAGCCATAAGAGATAGCCAACATGGGCAAAGCAGATGGGAGCTGCAGGTGTCAAAGGTGTCATGAAAATCAAAGTATTTTACATCCTTCTGTCCTTACAACTAGCCAGTCCCTTCACTACAGGAGGCAACTGGGAGCAGGCAGAGGGAGGGGCCTCATCAGGGAAGCATAAGAGTCATGAAATCTGTGGTGGAATGCCAGCATAGCAAGTGGTGAGGAAAGAGGTGTGTGATGAAGTTAAGGGATAGCTTCATCCTGTGCAGGATGAGAACCCAAAAAGCAGTTTGGCAGGAGAATTAACTGGTAGGTCTATGACATGAAGACATCCACCATCACAAAACTCTTACAAAAAGGCATGTTGACATTATCTTATGCTGCTTTTCTTCCTTTAGTGTCCACAAAGTCATGGGATAAGAGCTGGGATATAGTATTGTAACTTAACAAATCCAGTCTTTTTTTTTACTCAAGTTTGAGAAAGGATTTTATTTAAACAAGAAAAACATTTTCTCTCAATCTGCAGGAGAATCAGCAGTGACCAGGTGAATTATGAAGGTCATGCTATGTAAGTATTTACACAAGGTAGTCGTTTAGAAACTTTGTTTGGAAACTTGTGAATAAATTGATAGTAGAAGCTGTAGTTCCACACTCGGTCAGGAATCAGCAGGTCATCTTCTACTTGGTTTGAACTGCATGATGGTTCAGCTGTACTTTGAAACCTCCTGATGTGGTATTTGTTACATCCTCTTTCATTTCTCCATTAGAAAACATTGCTCAATATCTGTGTTCTGCTTTTACATCTTAAAAAAATAACATGTACTCTGTTGCTGGTACAGAAGGAGGTATGTGTAATGTCATAGAATCATAGAATCGTTAGGGTTGGAAAGGACCTTAAGATCATCTAGTTCCAACCCCCCTGCCATGGGCAGGGACACCTCACACTATCACCCAAGGCCTCGTCCAACCTGGTCTTGAACACCGCCAGGGATGGAGCATTCACAACCTCCCTGGGCAACCTATTCCAGTGCCTCATGTCTCACAAATACTCACTTGCTTCTAAATGAAGCTGGAATATTTATGGTGCAATAGTACAGCATTAAAATCGTGGGGTTTTAAATACATGTACAGTCAATACAGTAGCAGAAGACTGAATGGCACTTCCCTCACCCAGCCTTCTCATTTGAGCACACAGAACACCTAACTATTTACAACCCTGCAAAACAACTAACATCAAACATGAACATACATATTTTAGAGCATGGGAGATGAAGATACTGCCACTACAGATAACAGATATCATCTTCCTTGTTCTTGGCTTTTGGTTTGTTTGGGTTTTTTTAGCATGTAAAATCCTTTGGGATTTGTAAAAAGATCTCTATTTGCTTAGCAGCTTGATTCTGAACTGGTCGTGAACTGTTTGCTGCTCCGGTAACCATCTATGCAACAGTTACAGAAAACGCCAGTCCCCTGCTGAAAGATGTGAAAACCGCCTGGTTTTACCAGACATACGCAGGTGTGCAACAGTTCCAAGCACAACTCCCGTGCGTGCCCTGTTACAGTGAGTACCGACCGTAAAGCGCGCAAACTTTGCACCTGGGAGTCTTCCGACCGCCGCCGTCCCTCCGGGGGCCCCCGCTGCAGGCCCCGCTGCAAGGCCCGGCCCACCCTCCCGCGCTGCCACACGGGAGGCCGCTCCCGGGACCTCGCGGACGGTCACCCCAGCGGGGGGGGCCCCCCCGGCTGCTCACGTCCCTGCACGCCCCGACCCCTCAGGTGGGGACAGCGAAACTGCCCGCAGCGGCCGCCGCCCCGCGCTTCGCCCTGCCCTGGGCTGCTGGCAGCGGGCCTTTGCCGCCTGGAAAGCTTCGGTCGGGCCCGGCCTCCCCTCACGGGCCGCCCCCACGGGGCCCCGCCGGCCTAGGGGAGGCCGCGGCCGAGGGGCCGGCTCGGCGCGCCGGGAGCTCCCTCATTTTTTTCACTGGAGGGCAGCCGCGACGCAGCCAGGCCACGGGACGGCCGCTCCCGCCTCGCGGCCTCCCTCGGGTTCCTCCCGTGGCTGCGGCCGCAGGCACCGGCAGCGATCCCGCTCCGTGGGCAGGCGGGTTACGGTTGCGGGGGGGAGGAGAGGCGTGCGCAGAACGTAGCGGCGCTGGCGCAGGGCAGCGGCGCAAGCCATGGCGGGCCTGCCTCTGTACCACGTGACCCCGCGGCGCCCTCTCCGCGCGCAGGCGGCGGTGCGCGGTGAAGCGCCGGAAGCTGTGGTGGTTGGGACCGCCCCGCGGCGGGCCCGGCGGGAAGTGAGGTTCGCGGAGCCGCCCCCGCGGCGGGAAGGCGGCAGCTTCGGTCCCGCGAGGCGCGGAAAAGCAGCAGCCGGCGGTCGGGGCGCGGGGCGGCGGGGACGGCGGCGCCGTGGGGCTGCGGCGGGCAGGATGGTGGGGGACAGCGATGGGCAGGCTCCGCCGGACGCCACCGAGCTGAAGCACAGGCGGAAGAGCCCCCGTTTGGCGGCGGCGCGGGCGGAGGAGGCCGAGGCGGAAGCCGTGGCCGTGGCCGAGCCCGGCCCCGGAGGGGCGCTGGAGGGTGAGCGCAGCGTGCTGCGGTGGATCCTGCGGTTGGGGCGGCAAGAAATGGGGCGGGCGGGCGGGCTCGCCCTCTGCTTAGCTGAGGCCGCCTTGCTGGAGGGCGCAGCGGCGCCCGGGGGTATACTGAGTCGGGGGTGTCCTCCCGAATAGCCCCGCTGGAAGCACTGGGGCGTCTCAGTGAGTCTGAAATGGGTGTTTGGTGCTGCTGGAAGGCTGTCAGGCTGGAGTCCGGTGGGCTTGAGCTGAGCTGCCCGGGCTTGCTGCTCCCCTCACCCACTTCTCGTTTCAGGAGATGAGCATCACTTTGGGATTCCGGACTCCTTGACTCGGCCGCCTATTAAAGCATGTAGATCGCCAGGTAGGCTTTAACCTGGAGAGGTTACTGTATATGCTGCTTGCAAAGTGCTGAAATGCCCAAGACTGGAGGAAATTGAGTTTATTGGGTTTTAGCTCTATTGTGGACTTTACCGTGATTCTGGCATACAAGTGAATAAATCCCGCTGTGGTTTGTATTGCTGACATAAGAGATGAGGAGTGCTTATCGGTCTTCCACAAGGATTCATGCATGTAGAGCATGCTGAAGCCCTTAGGTGGCTGTTTTATCTAGTGCATCACCTGGAGTAGTACTTTGCCACAGCATGAAAATAGAGACTAACTTATTTTACTAACACTGCTTGGTTTGTAAGGGCTGAATTAAAATTAAGTATCTTGAGCTGCAAAAAGAGATCATTGCGAGAGTTTGCTTGGTATATACTGAGCAGTGTTGCTTATGAGGAAGTGAGTAATTTGGGCTTTCCTGGCCTTTCTCTGAAGTACCAAGCACATATCAGTACTTGCTCTTGGACACTGGACTAGACAAGCTGTTGGGTTAGCTTTGTTTGGTACCTTGTTTCTTTAGCTGATGAAAACTGTATCCTAACTCAGAGAGGTGTTAACTTTATGTAATACAGTCACATGTCTTTAGCCTGTCATCTATCAGAAAACTGCAAGTAAAGTGTATTTCCTTCCCTTTTAGTGTGTTGGTCTGTTTTGGGTTGGACTGTGTACATTATTAGTATGTGGCAATTTTCAGATGGATAAGGACTCTCATTAGGCTCTTGTTGCAGCTGTAGGGCATGACCTTAGTTATGTGGTACTGTCCTTAAGAAATGTTGCCAATATTATGCTTCAGAAGCAAAATTCAAAGGAGGTGTGGAAGCATCTTGAGGGAGGAATAGGGGGGTTATGAGTATGTCTTTGGGAAAGTGCAAAGGTTTATCTGGAAAAAAGCTGTGGGAAGCTGTTACTCCCAAATGATATCTAACAGTACTAACATATGTGGTATTTTAAATGTGGCTGGGCTGCTTTGGGAGTTACAGAGGTGTGCGGTTTTTTTTAAGTAAGCAT